GTGTTTCAGAAATGGCATCTGTGTTGTGGTTTAATTTGGGCCACCTGTTGTTGTCATTACGCATCACAAGTGAATCACTGCGTAAAACGTGCTTTGTAAAAGGTTAAAACAGATCTGCAAATTGTGTCTAAATGCAGCTGAAAACTGTTCGAGGTGATTCATTCAGTGAAGTGGTTTAGGAAAAAACGGTGAAACTCAGCCCACAATCTCAAACGGGGACTGAGAGACATGAAATGTGTTTACGAAAACATTATTACATTAAGACAACATGTGACTTCACATGTGACTTCACTGGGTATATTTTGCTTATGTGAATTTGAACCCACTTTCAGCTTCTAGGCATCTTTTCTGTGGAAGCATCTCCCTGTTTGGATTTAAGATTAGGCTTTTTGATAAAGCATTTAGTTGTGGCTGGATCAGGTCACCCTGAATCCTCCCTTAGTTACATTGCAATAGACCTAGGCAGCTGGGGACTTCCCATGACGAGTGTTTCTTTTTCACTCACTATGCATTTAATCATTAGCTAATTTTAATCACTGGTACTCTTCCACAGCTTGTTTTTGTCCCAGCTTCTTCCCCTTAACCCCGACCGGTCGTGACAAATGGCCGCCCCTCCCTGAGCCTAATTCTGCCAGAGGTTTCTTCCTGTTAAAAGGGAGCTTTTCCTTCCAACTGTCGCCAAGTGCTTGCTCATAAGGGGTAATTTGTTGGGTTTTTTTCTCTACTTTCTCTGTATTCGTGTAAGGTCTTCCTTTTGAGATTTTGGTCCAGCATGCTTCAAACAGTTTCCTGTTTTCCTACAACATTCCTGTTCAGAGTGACTGATTGATTGAGATGAGTGTGGAGGACAGTTGAGTACTTGCTGTCATGTTCAAGTAAACAGAGATGACCTAGAAATAGCAAATTGGGTCAAATTGTGTTCAATGTGTTATACACTCAGAGATGCTCTTCTGCCAACTTGGTTGTTGTCCACAAGGCCATTCTCCTGTGACTTCTGACATCACAAAGGCACTTTGGCCCACAGGTTTGTGGCTCACTGGACATTTTTCTCTTTTTTAAACCCCAGAGACAGCTGTGTTGGAAAATCCGAAAAGATCAACAATTTCGATAAAATAGAAGTAAAAAAAACCATATCACGTTCAGTCTCACTTAAATAACCTTTCTGCCCCATTATGATGGTCGGTGTGAACTTTAGCAGTTTGCCTTGACCTAACAATCTTTATGTTGTGCCTATGTGGTTGGCTGATTTGATATTTGTGTTAACGAGCAGTTGAGCAGCAGGAGCATACCTAATGAAGTGTCAGTGTATTGGGAAAGCAAAATAAAGAAACCTAAGGAGCTTGCTGCAGCCAGGCTGATCATAGTGGGAGATAGAGGGCTTCTCCTCTCACCTCCTGCCTGTGACCTGGAAATCAATCTCAGTGCCCCACACTGAAGTGTGTCTCAACACTTTAAATGCATTTGGAGAAGAGAGGAGGCTAACCAGAGGATATATAATCGAAGCTGCACAGGTCTATCCTCTACAGCAGTACTTTCAGTTTATACAAAAGTTGCTGCAATATACAAACCAGGGTGGAAGGACTCACTAAGCAGCTCATCTTTGCATTCATAAATTGTTTTAGTTAATTAAGATGGTCACACTTTCAGCTTTTTAAGTGTCCCTGTGTGTGTGATTAAAAACAAGGATAACATTTATATATATGCCATATTTTGAGTTTAATTAAAAGAGGTTCTAGACAGTCGTGAGCTCAGTTACACCTGAGATATTAAAACATAGCTGCAGTGTTTATTATTACAAAATAATATCAAGCATCACAGTTAACTGACACTGCTTTAAATTGCTGCTGCTCCAAGGCGAGGGCGTCTCATTTCATTAAGCGACCGTCTCTTGTTCAGCTCCTCTATTTCCATCACTGGTGAGAGAGAGTAAGATGCAAGGAGAGGAATCAGGGAAATGAGAAGCTTTCATATCTGAGCACACTGGGCTCAGGTGTAGCTCATGCAGCTAATTGCCCTCCAATCAGCTCCTGCAGGACAAAACAGGGCACAGCACAAAACAACAACACAGACGCCACCTAACCTTTCAAATTGCACATCCTCACTTGGTCTCTTTGTGTCTCTGTGCTTTCCTTTAAAGATGGGAGGAAGACCAATAAAGAGAGAGGAGATGAGACAGCAGACATGTAACAAAAACGAGACATCCTTCCCTTGGAGAATCATTTTTAAGCCTAAGCAAAACAGGGTTTTTTTTATAGCTCAACTGCAGTTGTTTTTTATGACCACACAGCTTATCACAGGTGACTCCTCCCTTCATGGTTTGTACATTCCAGCTGTGTTCAACACCTATTTTCACACATCTGTGCAGTATTCATCATATCGCTTCCTACAGTGGATAGCTTCTTTCACTTCAAGATGCATTTTTGAGTGACATCATTCAGCATTGAGCTACTGAGATTAATTTAAGGGTCACAAGCAGGAGGGAGATGAGGAGGTGCAAATTAGATAAAATAATAATAATTAGTTTCATTTTTGAACGATTCCAGGTTTCCTGTTGATCCACATGATGATGGTACCAGTCAGTAAATGGTTTTGAATTAAAACAATTAGATAAATATGGACATTAGGATTAGGATGAATGAAAGTGGGCAATATGATAATTTTATGATCTCCGTATACATGAAACAAGTCATAAAGTGCATTAATACTTAATATAGTTGGTTTTAATGTCCTTTGGTACTGTATTTCTCTTGTTTTTAGACATGTAATGTCCAAAAATGCAGCATTTTAATGCTGAAGACTTGAGGAAATCTTAAACTTAAGGCACAGTAATTTGCAGCGATCATTATTTTCACACCTTTGCAGACTGAGATGTCCGTCAATTTTGTCCTTTTCACCAGGTTGTTTATGCTGTGATATAAGAAACTTGGGGGCTTCAGCAGTGTGTCCTTTAAAGCCACCTACAGCGTGCACATATAATGCTTTCATTGCAGCGCTTGACCCTGGACTTCAGTGGCCTGACAATCAGACTCTCTTTGCTCTCTTTGAATGTTGAGAGAGTGATGATTCAGAGGTCTAGATCGTCGTTCAGTCCTTATTTGACCTGAGTATATTTTGCTTGATGCAACCATATGATTACTTGTCCATTATGGCTGAATTATTGTAAAAAAAAGTGGACATAATTAGCTGTTGAGCTTCCTTTTAACATTTTAACTTCTTTACTTTTCAATCTAATCTAAATATGCACATACTGAAGGCTTATTTTAGAAGAAATAGTCTAAGACTTGGATGGAGAAGGCTTAAGATCACAACCCTTAATCACTGTCTTGCTCATGGGATGTCATGTAATTTTAATAGGCAGCCTGTAGCTCATAAAATCACAGAAGCCTGTGGCATTTGTCCCCGTCATGTCATTACTTCTCCCCCAGCAGATCCGTGATAAATGAAGTCTTTAAAGAGCAAACAGTCACACATTAATCAAAATGTTGAGAGCTGAAAATCTGTCCACAGAAATGGTCACGCATGAGGACGTTACATAATAAAAATTAAGAGTATTAAGAGAAACTTTTTTTAATCTATGTGTGAACCTGCAG